GGCAGCTTTCAGCATTTAAACGAACATTTCTCAATCGTCTGTGGAAATTAGTACCATCCCGGAGCGCTTAACATTGGTGGAGTCTGATAAGGAGGGAGACAGAGGGGGCAGATGACCAAAAGCACGATCAAAAAGGAAGATCTTTAGGCGGGATTTAAAAGTGGGGAGGGAGGCGGCAAGGTGGTGGGATTGACAGTTTCGGGGCATAGTGGCTGAAGGCACAGCCACTGATGGTGGGGCGGAGGGGACGAGGGAGAAATAGGAGGCCAGAGCCTGCTGAGCAGAGGCAGCAGGTGGTGGAGTGGGGGGTAACCAGATTGGATAGGTTAGGAGGTGCGAGGGTATGAAGGGATTTTAAATAATAGCCCCATTATTTGGGTATCCTGAGGTTATTTGACTGCTTACATTTTTACCATCTATCACACACCTGAACAGGGAACACTGGGGGATTATGAAATCAATTTTGCACCTATTTTTAAGAGTGGTTCATATGTTTGCAAAAGAGAGAGATCGATGAAGAGGAACGTTATTGATCAGACTTCAATGAATGTAACATCTCAGCATGTTCTCCCAATTCACAACCAAACTAGGAATAACAGATCCAGACCATTATATGAGTCCCATCTCTTTTTTCAAAACAATAATTGATATTTCTATAGTGCATTTCATGTTGGGGTGGGGGGGGGGTTGAAGAGAAATGTCTCAAAGAGCTTCACACAGCTGTTTGTGAGGGGAAAGATTAGTTGGGATGCCACATTCTCTTTCATGAAACTGTTGAGGCAGAATTTCAAGGTCAAGAACATTTCAAGGTCCTCACCCTCACCTATAAAAGTATTTACACCTTAGCACCTCCCTAGGTCTTTGTTGTTCTCCTATGCCACTTGCCTGCTGCACCTCCCATTCCCCTCCACAACCCTGCCCACATCAGCCAGCAGCTCCTCATTCCACGCTTGAGCTTTCCAATTCTATATTTCCAACCACAGGAGCTTCCTCACTGGATCCCTCCATCTTGCTTCCCCCATCTCTATCTCCCCCCCATCTGGTGGAATCCTGTAGCTCATAGTTAGAGCACTTGCCTCGCAACAACAACAACAACAACAAGATTCCATTTATAAAGCAAGCGAGGGACCTGGGTTTGATTCCCGGCAGGGTGAAACGTTGTGCAAGTTTCCTTACTCCACATGGCTCTGTTTTCCTAGCAGTAAGTAGCAACCTGGTTGTTAGTCAATTGGGAGATCGCTTTTCTGGGAGTAATAATTCTTTTTAAAAAAAATAATAAATCGGTTACTTCAATCCACGACTGTTTGTGGGACACTGCTGTGCACAATTGGTTGCTGCATTTTGCCCACAAAATAGTCAATTTACTTTACAGTATATTCTGTGAAGCGTTTTGAGACATCTCGAAGACATAATATCAAATGCAAGGATTATTATTATTATCTGTCTTCAAGTTACCAACTTAAAACTGTACTCTTTGACCGTACCTATGGACACGTCCTTCCCTCTTCTCCTCTTCCCATGCCTGCTCGACATCCACCCTGCCGGTATCCTATTTGTGAACATCAGATTCCTTGTTAAGAAAGAACCAAAAAAGTGATTAAGAGGGAGAAAACTAGCGCAGAACATAAAGACAGACTGCAAGAGTTTTTATAAATATATAAAGAGGAAGAGGCTGTCAAAGGTAAATGTGGGTCCGTTACAGGCAGAGACAGGGGGAATTATAGTAGGGGACAAAGACATGGCAGTCTTTAAACAAGTACTTTGCTACTGTCTTCACCTTAGAAGACACTGAATACCTACCAAAAATAGAGGGGAACCGAGTAGACAATGTTAGTGAGCAACTTGGAGGAATTAATATTAGTAAAGAAATGGTTTTAGGTAAATCGTCAGGTCTTAAAACTGATAAATCTCCTGGACCTGATGGCCTACATCCTAGGGTTTTAAAAGAGGTGGCTACTGAGGTAGTGGATGACTTGTCTTTGATCTTCCAAAATTCTCTGGATTCTGGAACGGTTCCCATTGATTGGAAGATTGCAAACGTAACACCACTATTTAAGAAGGGTGGGAGAGAAAAGATTGGGAACTATAGACCGGTTAGTCTGACATCAGTGGTAGGGAAAATTCTTGAGCCCTTAATTAAAGATGTCGTTATGGGATTCCTGGAAGACCATAACAAGATTAGGCAGAGTCAACATGGCTTTACAAAAGGGAAGTCATGCTTAGCTAATCTTTTAGAGTTTTTTGAAGATGTATCTAGCAGGTTCGAATTCAAGATCCTCATCCTAACCTACAAGGCCATTCACGGCCTTGCTCCCTCCTACCTCTCTGACCTACTATCCCCCTACCTACCTGCCTGTACCCTCCATTCCTCTGGCTCCGGTCTGCTCCACATCCCCCGCCCCAACCGCCCTACAATCGGTGGCCGGGCCTTCAGCCTCTCAGCCCCGAGGCTCTGGAACTCTATCCCCAGTGCCTTCGCCGCCTCCTCCCTTTCCTCCTTCAAGACCGGTCTCAAGACCTTTCTCTTTGACCGTGCCTTCAGCTCCCCTCTCGACTCTCTACCCCCTCCTCGCTCCCTCCCTTCCCTCCCCTCACCCTGACCATTTCCCCCCTGCTCGGGTCTGACCCAACTGTACAGCGCCTTGGGACATCCTCCCGATGTGAAAGGCGCTCTATAAATGGAATCTTGTTGTTGTTGTTGTAGATAGGGGGGAACTAGTAGATGTAGTATATTTAGATTTTAAAAAGGCATTTGACAAAGTGCCACACAAAAGGCTATTGCACAAGATTAAGGCCCATGGGATTAATGGGAACATATTAGCATGGATTGAAGAGTGGCTAATGGGTAGAAAACAGAGAGTAGGGATAAACGGGTTATTCTCGAATTGGCAGGATGTGTCTATTGGAGTGCCACAAGGATCAGTGCGTGGGCCTCAGCTATTTACAATTTACATCAATGATCTAGACGAGGACATTGAATGTTACGTATCTAAATTCGCAGATGACACTAAACTAGGTGGGAGTGTAAGCTCTGAGGATGATGCAAAAAGATTGCAACGGGATATAGATAGGCTAGGGGAGTGGGTGAGTAGGTAGCAGATGGAATTTAATGTGGGGAAGTGTGAAGTTATTCACCTAGGTAGAAAAAATAGAAAAACAGATTATTTTCTAGAGGGGGAGAGATTAGATAGTGTTAGTGTTCAGAGGGATTTGGGTGTCCTTGTACACCAGTCTCAAAAAGTTAGTTTGCAGGTGCAGCAAGCAACTAAGAAGGCGAACGGCATGTTAGTGTTCATTGCAAAAGGTTTAGAGTACAAGAGTAGGGAAGTCTTGGTGCAACTGTATGGTGAGACCGCATCTAGAGTATTGTGTGCAGTTTTGGTCTCCTTATTTAAAAAAGGACATACTTGCCCTAGAGGGGGTGCAGTGTAGATTCACTCGGTTAGTTCCTGGGATGAGGGAACTGACCTATGAGGATAGGCTGAATAAACTAGGGCTATATTCTCTAGAGTACAGGAGAATTAGGGGAGACCTTATTGAAACATGTAAGATTCTTAAAGGGCTGATAAAGTAGACACTGAGGGTCTGTTTCCCCTGGTAGGAGAATCTATAACCAGGGGTCACAGTCTTAAAATTAAGGGTCAGCCTTTTGGAACAGAGTTGAGGAAACATTTCTTCACTCAGAGGGTAGTGAATTAATGGAATTCACTACCCCAGAAGGCTGCAGATGCTCAGTCCTTGAACATCTACAAGGCTGAGACTGATAGATTTTTTAAAAATAGAGGGATTAGGGGATCTGGAAATAGGGCAGGTAATCAGAGTTAGGTCAGAAGATCAGCCATGATCTTATCGTATGGCGGGGCAGGCTCGAGGGGCCGAATGGCCTACTCCTGCTCCTAATTCTTATGTTCTTATGTTCTTAAAGTCATGCAAATTAGACTGCATTAAATATCAAGGATGACTTGGTAATGGCTGTAAAAGACACATTACATGAGAAAGTATGCGTTCAAGCTATTGCAGATTTGGTTCATAAGAAATTAGATTCATTTATTGTGATATTATTTTATTGTTTACCATATCAAGGTCATCTTGACCTCACCAAGACTTTCTATTTCCTACAAAACACTTCCTTTCTCATTTAGCCTGTCATAAAATTTATTGAAAAATCTGTCTTTAATCCTGCTAGTTCATAGAATTTGTTCTTATTTGTGCTTGGGTTCTAGTTTGTTTTCTTCAATTGTTCTGTCTGTTCATGACATTATTTTGGTTTAATTCAATAAGTGTATGGAAAAAAAACATTTTTCAACAAATGTAATATTAAGATGTGAATTATCCTTCCGTTCCCACCATATCAAATGCAAGTATTATAATTATTATCAACCCTTGTCGGATCACAATAATTCTCTACTAATACTGTATTAGTGTATCTGGATACAACATGATTATATATTAATGGAACTAATTAACTTTATTTATTTACAAGATTCTTTGTTAAGTAATTAGAATTCCTCTCAACTTGTGGGAACAAAAATCCAGAAGTACATTCCGCCAGAATGCACTGACAATTCACTATTGCTGTCCTTGTTTTGAAGCTGTGATCCTTGATACCCAGTAAAAGTTCAATTGTAGATAAATGTAATTTATGAGGTAAATAGAGGGTGTTGGTGATATTGTAATCCTGTAATGTGAATACACTCAATACAGAAACTGAAAGAATAGAAAACTAAATAATGTAAGTTACAAACTCAGAATATTCACTGCGTTACATAAATGGAATAACTATACTGCAATATTTGAATCTGTTTCAATGAGAGTTTCAAATGCTGTATGGTATTTAAGCACAGTCATTATTAATCATCAACAGTCATTGCACAGATGAAAATTAAGGGAGTCTTCATGTTACTGTCTTATTAAAGTGATTGTACTGAGTTTTATTTGCATTTCTTATTCTTAGGATCTTATTTTTTTCTTGCTACTGCTACCTTCCTGCGCTTATGTAGTTGGCTGTGTGAATAAAGGAAAAGGGAGAAAAAGCATGCATTTGGTGTGAAACTGGAGACCAGATGTCTTAGCCTGAATTCCAATTACTACCAGTCACTCTGTGCCAGACTCCACAGAAAGCACAGTCGGCACATTGTGTGAGGCGAAAGCTGAGTCTCACAAACTGGATGGTTGAGGAGATCTGTCTGGGCTTGACACACAAAGCTTCTGCTGTGGTAAGTTGTGCGGTTTCCTTGAAACATTCTTCACCAATATCAAACGCAGTTTTGTAGAAAAAGCCAGCACTGTATTGACATGCTCTTTGTGTTTCTCAGTTCAAAGGATAAAGTTAAAACCCAGTTCCAGCCAATGTTTTTGTTTGGTTTAATAATCTGGAATTTATATGGAATATCACCACAGGGGTAAAAAAAAGATCATACAGGGCCACTACATCCAGCAGTTTTGCATTCATGCATGTATATTTCTGCCCGGAGATTTTTAAAATTAGGACATGATATTTCTATGGACAGATTCATAATTCCAAGTCTGGAAATGGAAATATATTTGCCGAATTTTTGGCATCCCACGAAAGGCCTGCATTTTAAGGACTAAGGAATATTAGTTGTTATTCCCAGTTATTTTCATTTTTTGTGCCTTACTTTAGTTCTGGTGCACACTGTATACTGTTCTTAAATGTTCTCATCTGTCTGAATGCTGAGGAAATTGTGACCATTTGTGACATTAAGAACAACAACAACTTGGATTGATATAGCGCCTTTGATGCAGGGCATTTTTTGAAGCACTTATACAACTGACTGACTGCCTTTATGTTCATAAATATACAGTCAATTCACTTTACAATAAATTCAGTGAAGCGCTTTGAGATGTCTTGAATATAAGGCGCTTTTTCAAATGCAAGGATTATTGTATCTGTCATTCAGCAGGTTAAATGAAAAGTATTTATTCAGTCTAATTAATGGAGTAGTTTGACTTAAGTAGAATTGATAAATAATAAACAATAGCAATAATTTATTATATAAACAGAATGTAACATCATGAACAATATTTTAATCACTCAAGTTCTGCCAAGTCATTTTATTTGGCAGAAATTGAGTGATTAAAATATTGAATGACTAAAATATTTTATAGTGATCTTTCTATTGTCTGAAAATTGCATTCCAATTAACAACAGACCATTGCAAACAGCATTTAACCTATACACTTTAAGGCCTGAATTTCTACCTAGTCTTTGCCTATAAAACCATTTTGTCTTAAAATTAAAATTATGCAGAATTGTGAAAAATTCTTAAGCTCAGTCTTAATTTGGAACCCAAGAAACACTGTGTGGAATTTCATCAATTATCAATCTAAAACCAAATACCTTCAGAAAAAGTTGATTCATGATAAGCGGACTGATACTTTCATAACAATAACTTTATAGTAATAGACACAATATTGGACAAACTCACCAATATTATTTGCACTAAGTACAAGACTTGCATATCACTCCCCTAAAATTGCCATATTTTAAATAATGATTATCAATACATTTGTCAAAGGATTGCTGAAATCCTAGACTGCAACCGCTTTTCTGAAGTAATATATAATAGCCATATACGTTGCATTCTCTAAGTGCATTCGACACAAAGCAAGCTGTGTTAATGCCTTGGGCTCGTGGCTGAGTACATTCAGGGTTCCAATGTCTATCTGGTAAATAACCTTTCATCTGCTTGTCACAATGAACATGACAATAATCAAGTCCACAGGCACTAAAAATCACTGAAGGAATTGAGAACAGCGCATAAACATAAATCAGCTGGTAAAGACGCGACATGATGCTGAGAGATTTATACATGTAACTTGGTCTGAAACACATATAATAAAAGCTGTTTGATTGATGAAGTAATTTGATAAATATTTCTATTAAATAACGTAAGAGCCATGAAGTAAACAGTAACAGTCATCAGCTCTTAAGCAAAACCATTTAACATATCATAAAGTCATTTATTCAATACTTTGTTTGCACTACACATTTAATTAGCATTTTAAAAGCAATTTAATTCTGCTAGATTACTTTGTTTGCTTCTTGGGTAGGTTTAGAAATTTCCTACTGTGTAGCTGACAGAACTCACTTCATGCAAGAGAGGAGATGTACTGACTGCTACACTTCTAGCTGAAGTGAGTCAAGCTCTGAAAAACAACTTCAAAATAGGACTGTAACATTCGAAAGGTCTTTCAGAAGCTATTCTGGAATAATGGGTGTCTATAATTGACATAAGCAGACTGTTGCATGTCTTATGAACTCTAACTGCACCCTTTCCGGGTAACACATAGGTGTGTAGGTGAAGCTTTTAACAAGATCTTGCAACTCCATCCTCATGACTGTTGTGGTCACCAAGTCTCAATTCTACAGACAGGAGCGCAATATTACTTTATGGGCGTATGTTTTGCAAATTAAATATTTATTAAAATAAGGATCAAAAAATGCAAGATTAGAAATAAATAAGACACAAACACAAACACTGATAATCACGGGACATCCTTCAACAAAAGTCCCTTAGAAAGTGCTCTTTGATCGCTCTCTGAACTGTTATCCAGTACTTAAATTGTACCGTTAAAAGTTTCCAATCAGGGTTTTGATCATTAATAAGCTAACTTGCCTCTCATAAATTTCAGTTGTATTTAAAAGCAGATTTTTGAACGTTTTGTAAACACAGTGTATTTATACCAAACTTCAGAGCCAGATAAGTGAACCATTGAGATGGCAAACTAGGAGATTACAGAAGTGCTTTGTGATAAAAAAAACACATGAATGGAACATAAAGCAGAAGTCACTGGGAACACAACAGGTCAGGCACCATCTATGGAGAGAGGAAAGTGAGTCTAACGTTTCAGGATGATGACCTTTCGTCAGAACTGGGGGACGTTTATAAGGACAAACAGAAGGGATCGGGCAAAGAAAAACAAAGCAAGAAATTAGGCCGAGGACTGTAAATGTGAGATCAGAGGCGTTGATGGCAATAGTGATGACAAAAGAAGGCAATAGTGGGAGAAAATAAAGAGAAATTATGTGTCTGAGATGCAGAGGATGTGTTAATGGTTATAGAAAAGAGGGAGGGAGGAGACAAGGCTGAAAGAAGATGGAATCTGTGTTTAAGGTTTAAAGTGGTTAAAATCAGCCAGAGGGCTGTAAGGTGCCGAGGAGATAGATGAGCTTCCGTTGTGCTACTGAAGCTCCCTCCTTCTCGGCCTCCCTAACTTTTCCCTCCACAAGCTGCAGATCATCCGAAACCTTGACCAAGTTTCCTTACTCCACATGCCTGATAATAATCTCTCAAAAAAACCAATAATAAATTCAAAATCCTCGTCCTCACTTTCAAGACCCTCCACGGCCTTGCCCTCTCCTACCTCTCTGACCTGCTGACTCCCTATCAACCTGTCCGATCCCTCCGTTCAGCAGTCTCCAGCCTGCTCCATGTCCCCTGGCCGACCTGCCCTACCATCGGCGGTTAGGATTTCAGCCTCTTTGCCCCCACCATTTGGAACTCCATCCCACAGTCCCTTTGCCTTGCTCCCTCCCTTGCCTCCTTTAAGGCATGACTCAAGACCCTCCTTTTCGACCATGCCTTCAGCCACCCTCCTATGCCTCTGCCCTCCCTGATTCCAACCCTGACCCCCGTGCTCGGGTCCTAATCTCTGACTGTTCAGCACCTTGGCATGTCCTCCCGATGTGAAAGGTGCTTTACAACTGTAATTTTGTTGTTGTTGTTGTTGCTTCGTTGGAACAGCGAAGGAATGGGACATTCCCACTCAAGCATGTGATTGCAGATATAGGACTCAAGGAGCTGTGTGTTTTATTCAAACGTCCCACTTGCTATGATATGATAGAATATTGAGCATGTAGGTGACAGTTGAGATCAAGTCAAGCTCAAAATACGGACACAGAAAACATGGAAGGGAGAAAAGATAATTATCCCATCAAGCCTATTCTTTTCCTAGACTTTACACAATTTAACAATGGATTCCAACTCACCCATATAATCATTGGTGGGAAGTTTCTACAGAAATGCCCCCAGACGCCATTCCTTCCCTAAGTTATCAAACCACATTTTCAAAATATTCAACATTACCACATCTCCATTATACAACTTAACTCTGGTCTGCTTCCGTCCACAAACATTAACCCCGATCCCCTTCATTGCAGGAACTATTATATCCAGTAAAGCATTTAAAGACCTATTCTCTCTACATTCTTCCTGCTCCTCTTTGAAGGAGATTAATCAACGTTGTGTTGGGATTCTCTTCCACATATCTACTGCAGTACAGCGCTGCATTGTCACAGATGCCGTCCTTCGGATGAGATGCTAAACTGAGGTCCCATCTGCCTGTCCAGTTGTATATTAAAGATCCCATGGCACTATTTGAAAAGAGAAGGGAGTTTCTTCAGGTGCCCTAGCCACTCTCCCAATAAAACTGATTACTGACTTCATGGCTGTTAGTGCGAAAATACTGCACGCAAATTGGCTGCTTTGTTGGCCTACAAATACAGAATCACTACACTCCATAATAAAATCCAGTGAGGCGTTTGAGAGATCTCAACGACATGATAAGACACTATGTCACTATAATCATATTATTTTCTACTTCTCTCTGGAGAATATGTTCGCCCACAAAACATACAGTCATTACACTTTACAGTATATTCTGTGAAGCACTTTGAAATGTCTCAAAGACGTGATAAGGCACTATATCAAATGCAAGGATTATTATTATTATTAAAGGTTTATCATAAGGACCTACAAAGTCCAGTTTTACTTGATGCTTGTTGATCATTTGAAATCTAAGACCATAGTTCCATGCCCAAATTCCAAACAAACTAATCTTGTATTATCATCACCTCTGCTTCTCACCAATTTACAGAAGGCCATTGTGTTCTCTTATTTATGTGCATGGGAAGGATTTAGTTTTCTACTCAATACTCTTTTGTTTGTGGAATGTAGTTTGTCATTGTTATTAATGCACAGGGCCTACTAATGCTTCCCATTCAGCTATGCGAGCTGCTTCTAACCTTTATTCCCTAAATAAACTATTCATCTCATGGGATGTCTCGGCATCAAATATAATCTGATACAGCAGCAACCACAGCAGGGAAATAAAAATCTGTGCTTGTCTCCCAAGTGCACTTTAGTGGACCATTAAATTATTTCTGCTCCAATTACTTGTAAGCACTCTACTG